TGTAGTTCCAGCTACTCGGAAGGCTGAGGCGGAAGGATCGCCGGAGCCTAGCAGGTCAAGACTGTGGTGACCGGGAGTGGCCACTGCACTCCAGTCTGGGCAACAGAGTGAGACTTCAACTCAAAAAAGTAAAAAATAAAATGACAATGGAAAATAAAGACTTAGGTATATGTTGACAGATCATTATTATTTGTTTATATTTTTATAATTTTAGAGACAGTGTCTCGCTCTGTCACCCAGGCTAGAGTACAGTGGTAGCTCATTGCAACCTCAAACTTCTGGGCTCAAGCAGTCCTCCCATCCCAGCCTCCCAAGGAGCTGGGACTACAGGCATGCACCACCACACTTGGCTAATTTTCTTATTTTTTGTAAAGATGGGTTCTTGCTATATTGACCAGGCTGGTCTTCAAATCCTGGCCTCAAGTGATCATCCCACCTTGGCCTTCCAAAGTGCTGGATTGCCAGGTGTGAGCCAGTGAGCCACTGTGCCTAGCCAACAGATCATTAAATAAGACCACATTGGCATGTATGATGTATAAGTTGCTAAGCTGCCATTAGATCTGTTAGTTGAATTACTAAGTTCTCCTCTAGCCTTGCTGGTTTTGTCTAGTAGTTCAGTCAATTATTGATGGAGGATTTGTTGAACTATCCAGCTGTAATTGGGAATTTGTGTGTTTTCTCCTTGTATCCTGAAGCTCTGTTGTTTGGTGCCTACACCAAAAGACATTGCTAATATGTCTTTTTGGTAGATTGACCCTTTTGTCGTTATATGTTATACTTCTTTCTCTCTGGTAATTTTATTTTCTCTGAAGTCTACTTTTTCTGAAATTATTGTAGCCATTCCTTCTTTCTGTTGATTAACGTTTGCATTTTTCCATTTTTTTTCTTTGAACCTACCTTTCTCGTATTTGAAGTTTCTTATAGACAGCATACAATTTATGCTTTTTATATCAGTTCTGCCAACTCTGTCTTTTCATGGTGTATTTAGTCCATTTACATTTAGTGTAATTATTGATATATTAGAGCTTAAGTCTGCCACTTTAATGTTTGTTTTTCCTCTGTTTGCTGTTTTTTTACTTGATTTTTCCTGTCTTCCCATGGACATAAACATTATTTACAATCCCATTTTGGCTCATCTGTAATGCTTTTTAGTGTTTCTCTTTGTATAGACTTTCAGTGGTGGCTATGGGTATTATATTACATGTATGATTTTTTTTCACAGTCTACTGGTATTAACATTTTACCACTTTGAGTCATTTAAGTCTTTTTACCTCTCTCCTTTATAATATAATTTGCTTAAATATTTCTTCTATATATATTGAGAATCACATCAGACAGTGTTATAATATGTACTTCAACCATGAAACATAATTTAATATTATAAATATAATTTAATTTAGAAAACTCTTTCCATTGTTTTTTGCTCATTCCTGAAATTTCAAGTTTTCCATGTGTCTGACCTTTCTTTAGCCATTTTTTTTTTTTTAAGAGATGGGTACTTGCTTTGTCACCCAGGCTGGAGTGCAGTGGCATGATCACTGCAGCCTTGAAGTTCTAAGCTCAAATGATCCTCTTCTCTCAGCCTCCAGAGTAGCTGGGATTACAGGTGTGTACCAGTTAATTTTTTTTTCAATATTTTTAAAGACAAGATCTTTTTAGGTTGCCCAGGCTGATCTCAAATTTCTGGCCTTATATGATCTTCCTGCCTCAGTCCCCCGAATAGCTGGGACTACAGGAGTGGGCTACCATATGTGTCTAATTTAAAAAAAAATGTTTTTGAGGAGACAAGGTCTTACTATGTTGTGTAGACTGGTCTCAAGCAGTCCTCTTGCCTCAGCTTCCCAAAGGCTAGGATTACAGGTGTGAACTGCCATGCTCGGCTGGTCAACTTTTTAAATCTGTAGGTTTATGTCTTTGACAAATTTGGAAAATTTCAGCTATTATTTTTTTCAGCTTCACTTGCTTTTCCTTCCCCTTTAGAGACTCTGATACCATGAATGTTAATCTTTTTAAAAAAGATTCCTACGGTCTCTGTTCATACTGGATCATTTCTGTTGTTCCGTGTTTTTTGGTTTTTGGTTTTTTTTTTTGAGTTTGGAGTCTCCCTCTGTCACCCAGGCTGGAGTGCAGTGGCACACTCACAGCCACTGCAGCCTTGACCTGCTGGTCTCAGGCAATTCTTCCGCCTCAGCCCTTCAAGTAGCTGGAACCACAGGATTATGCCACCATGCTTGGCTGATTTTTTTGAGTTATTATAGAGGTGAGGTCTCGCCCTGTCTCAGGGTGGTCTCGAACCCCTGAACTCAGGTAATCCTTTTGCCTCCGCCTCCCAAAGTGCTGGGATTACAGGTGTGAGCCACTGTGCCTGGCTTGCTCTGTTTTCAAATTCATTCTTTCCTCATCATTCTTATGTTCAGTTCATCCAGTGAGATTATTGTATTTTTTCAGTTTTGAGATTTCCATTGAATTCTTCTTTATATTTATTTCCTTCCTTTCTTTCTTGTTTCCCTTGCTAAGACTTCCTACTCTTCTTTCAGGTGTGTTTTTAATTGCTTCTTAATTGGTCATGAATGTGTGTGTGTGTGTGTGTGTGTGTGTGCGCATTTTTTTTCCTTCTTTTTGTTTTTCTTTGAGTTGGAGTCTCACTGTCACCTAGCTAGAGTTCAGTGGTATTATTACAGCTCACCACAGCCTCAACCTCCTGGGCTCAGGCAATCCTTCTGCCTTAGCTTCCCTAGTAGCTTGCACTACAGGTGTGTGCCACCGTGCCCGGCTTACTTTTTAAATTTTTGTAGAAACAGGGTCTCACTATGTTACTCTGGCTGGTCTCGAACTCCGGGGCTCAAGCAGTCCTGTTGCTTTGTCACCCCAAAGTGCGAGGATTACAGGTGTGAGCCACTATGCCTGTCTGGTCATGGGAACATTTTTTTGATGACTGCTTTAAAAGTTTATTCTACCGGAAATATGTGGCTGTAGATGGAAAATGCTAACCATAAGGAAACAATAAAAAGTAACCAAAAGTGATTCTTCTACTCGAATTACCTGACATGTTGGAATTTGTTGTTTTTCTCACCCAAGTTGAGATTTTCCTGTGCCTTGGTATGACTAATGTTTTTCAATTGCATCCTGGACACTTTGAGTATTATGAAACTGGATTTTGTTTATATTTTTGTTTTAGCAGTCCTCTGCTAAAACAATGCTTTTGGGGAATGTGGACAGTGACCCTTCATATCAGATGGGGATGGAAGCCCAGAACTATTCCAGGTGGGAAAGAAAAGGGTGCCTAATAACCTAATAACTGCAGAGATTGAAATTTAGACTTTCCAGGCCAGGTGTGTTATGCCTGTAATCCCAGCACTTTGGGAGGCTGAGGTGAGAGGATTGCCTGTGTTTGAGACCAACCCAGGCAACTTGGCAAGACCTCATCACTGCAAAAAATAAAAAAAATTAGCCAGGTATGGTGGCCTGTGCCTTTATCCAGCTACTTGGAAGTCTGAGGTGGAAGTATCGCCTGAGCCCAGCAGTTGAGGCTGTGGTGGCCCTGAGCGTGCCACTGCACTCCAACCTGGGCAACAGAGTGAGACTCTGACTCAAAAAACAAACAAACAAAAAGAAATTTAGGCTTTCCACTCAGAGCCCACTGGACTGTGACTCAAAAACAAACAAAAAAAGAAATTTAGACTTTCCACCGAGTTCACTGACACTGTGGAGAAGGGGAGTGGTGCCTTGTTACCACTGGGCTGGAGTGCAAGTCCAGGCTCTCCCCTTGGTTTCTGCTGACATCATCTTGGAAGAGAGAGGGCGAAATTCCTCATTACCAATGGGCAGGGGTAGAGATATAAGCTTCCCAGTTGGCTTTCTCTGACACTATGGAAAGGGTAAGAAATACCTTGTTACTGCTGCCTGGGGTTTAAAGTTCCAGGTTCCCCATGTGGTCTTCTTTGGTGCTGGTGATGTGGGTAGAGAGAGATATTGTCTTGGATTTTTTATTTTTTTTCCTCGATCTAAGAATATACTGGATTAGTTTGTTTTCGGTTTGTGTAATGTAATACTTGAGACTGGGTAATTTACAAAGAGAAGAGGTTTATTTCTTACAGTTCTGGAGTCTGAGAAGTCTAAGATTAGATGGCCATGTCTGGTCATCTTCTATGGTGATGTCTTTGTCCTGTGTCATACCATGGCAGAAGGCATCACAGGGCAAGAGGTGCACACTGAGAGACAAACTGGCTCTTGTAACAGAACCAAAAGTGATAACTAACCCACTCTTGTGATAACACATGAATCCATTAATCCATTCATCAGGGCAGAGCCCTTATTACCCAATCACTTCCTAAAGGCCTCTCTTCTCAATACTGTTACATTGGGGATCCAGTTTCAATGTGAATTTTGAAGGGGACAAACATTCAAACCATAACAGACACCTTATCACTGCTGGGTGGTGGTGAAAGTCCAGGCTCCCCACTTGACATTCTCTGACACTGCCAAAGTAGGCACAGGAAGGATACCTCATTATTGCCAGACAAGGGTGAGAAATCTAGGCTCCCCACTCAGCCTTTGCTGACAGAGTATACGGGGGTGGGGGAGTGGCATTTTTTTCCCCCTGGTGTTTTGCTAGAATAGTACATTTATTTAGTTTATTGTCTTGCTAGGCTGTCTCTTTCTCAGCCCTTTGACAGGAGAGCAGCTCTTCTTGGGGTTTTTAAAATTTATGCCCAGTAGTGTTTATAGGCTGAGGACTTCTTTAACACCCAATCTGAGTTTATTATAAGAGACAATAAAGAACCTCAGGCAACTCACCACCATGTTCTTCCTTGATTCCTGGAATTTCTAGCTGATCCTTTTTCTGCCTTCCAGAGACTTCTTATGTTGGTTTTAATGTGATGTCCAAGGTTTGTAACTGTACTTGGTTGGATGGATAAGAAATATTGTGTTTGCTCTATCTTGTCTGGAACCAGAATTCTAAGGTCCTTTTAAATCTACTACAAAAGTAATATGTTGAGGATTTGGTATATAGAATTCCCTGGCTTTAGATTAGGGAATATTACCATGGTGGAAAATGTACATCATTTGTGCATTGTAAAAATTGTGAAACTGAAACCTATTCCCCCCAAACAAAAATACTGAGCAAATAAAAATTTTCTCTAAAATTTAAGCACTTTCATGAAAGGATAGCCAGCACTTTCAGGGCTTTCTTTGGCAAGAAAAGTCACAAGAAGGATTTAAGACATTGAGTTTATTGATGGTGCCCTGGGCCTTGTTATGTCTCTGCCCTGCCAACTGAAACACATGAAAAACAAGACTGGGCACTTTGCTGGTTAGTAAAATACAATCTTGAAACCCTGGCATCTGTTACTTGAAACACCTTTCTAGTGTTTGATAAAAGTATAGGTAAGTCAAATCTGATATTCTGCAGTGGTGCAAATTATTGCAGTGGTGCAAATTACAATGTTGCCACTAATTTGGTCCCTACCCGAAGAATGACCCAAACAATACTACTGGGACCTACTCTTTCCCTGTAGGGTTCAACTACTTATAAGACTTAGGCACAACTGCTGGGAGATGTTTGTCCCTGGTGAAACTGTTAAAGTAATTTTCTTTCTCAGTTGGTGTCATTTTGGGAGAGCATGAGAATGTGTTACTTTTGAGACCAGGGGAATCCCTGATGGTTCAGAAAAATTGGAGTTGTGTGTATGGAAATGGGCAGCTGGGACTTTGTCAAAGAAAAATAAATTTGATTTTTTTGTTTGATCTAAAATGGAAGTAACTTTATTGATTTCTGGTTATAAAAAGATTACATCCTCTTAGCCAAAACCTATGGAAATACAGAAAAGTTAGAAGAAAATAGAAACTAGAGAACCATCTTGAGCCAATTTGAAGAATATCCTTATAGTTTTTGAATATGCTAAATATTTTGTGTGATTTTTAGAAACAGGATCACGCTGCATACTCTTTAGTATCTTGTCTATTTACAATATCATGTACCTTGTATCATACATAGTTAATCTGAAAAATTCTGCCTTTTTGTTTGAGTTTGTATATCTTTGCTTATTAGTGATAGCCTTTTATATTTCTTATTTGTGTGTGTGTGAATTGCTACTTGATGTCACCTATATCTTTCCTTTGGGGTGGTCAGCTTTTTTTTTTTTTTTTTTTTTATTTGGGGG